CCATCAATTGATACACAATTTCGCTGTGATTTACACCACTCTTATGGCCACTATTTTTGACTCGCGATGAATACATGAGCGCCTGTTTCACAGTCAGTCCCCTTACGAGTGATTCGCTTTGATTTTGGGACACAAAACACGAAACAATTTTCACACTTTGATTGACGAATATCTTCGAGTCTTCACTCAAAACATATCTATTGCTGGCATTGAAGCACTTAATTAGTGTAGTCTTTCCCGAACCCGAAGAACCCATTAATGCATTGATTGACGAGAACTCAAAACCACCGCAAATGTCATCCAAAATACACTTTTCATTTGCACTGAACTGTCGGACACTCGCCGACAGACCCGTCCATGCGATCGCTGTCCGGGCATTCATTTTACTGACAAATTCTTTACAAACTATTACATTGTATTTAACTCCAAATTAAAAACATTTTTTTAAACAAAAATTGTTTACACAAAAACTTATCTATATCAACTTTACTTCATTTATGAGAAAATATTAAACCCAGACATAAAGTTTTTAAATGAGATGCACTGATAAAAGAGACAACCTTCACAAAAAACTTATACACTGTATTTTAAATATACCCATAGGCATTTTAAAATTAATATTAATGGGAGGGGAGGGACAATATTAAATCAGTTTTCGCGCTATGTTACTTCATGCTATGTATTTATTTGCCAAAATTGATAGCTACTTATTAATAGTCTTAAAGCATAGTTGTTTATAAAATCAAAGGAATAATTTATTATTTATAAATTCTATTACTTATAAAGTATATCATACAGTAAAATACTAAGTTAGTATGGTATATAAACTTTACAATAGTATGTAATATATTTATACAACTTGAAAAGGGTACTTTAAAATTCAATAAATGCATTAAGTTCAGTAAACTGCACGACCTTGTTTTAATTTACGAGATTGCTAATTTTGCAATTCAAGTAAAAAGATTTTTCTGATTATTTTAATTGATGCATTCATCAATCCTGTTTGAAACTAAATTGAACTTAATTGAATATTCTTTAATAATTTTAATTCTTTCTTGATACCAATTTGATATAAGTTTAAAATATTGTGGACTCTTTGGAAGTCGTGCCTCACCTCAAGTGGGCTGTTGAGGACGCGCAGCAAAAGTGATAACCATTTGAGGGACAAAATGCTGAATGTGTCGCACAGTGTGGCTGTGATTACGAGACTACTGATGTACTCAACACACACTTACAGTAACATATGATAAATATTATATAATCTTAATATAAAATATTATGTGAAAAATACAAGTGATTAGTGTTACAGTAAGGGCATTTGAACACAACAATTATATTGGATGTGAGGCATAAAGTTTACAAAGTTTTACTGTATAGTATACAATATACATATACAATACATGTACAATACTTTCAGTCACTATATAGTATAAATAACTTAGAATGTGAGTAGGATCATAAATTTATAATACAATATGCATGAAATGTAACTTTACTGAGAAGTGTAGGATAGGCATATTAAAGGATATTACACAATAAAATGTAGCCAAGTTCAAAAAACAGGAAATTGATAAATCATAAATCAATCAATTTTGACAAAAAAATTTTAAAAATTTTAATTAAACATAATGTGAAACAGTTATTACACGTATATTTATAATTATTTAAACAAATTGACAATAACAAGCTAGAGGTTTTAACCATGAAACAATAACTAAGAAATGTATTTCATAATATATTATTAAATTAATTTATACATCAAATGTAAATACATGAAATTGAATATAAAATATCTAAATAAATAAATATAATATCTATTTAAATTATTATACAATTATTAAAACAATTAAAAGAAAAATGTTTTTAACAAAAAAGATTTATAGACTTTTTGTTATTGAAGTAATTGATCCCAATTTGAATCCAACGGCGCCTTTAGCTGTGAGATAACCCTCTTTGGTGGCGATCACCTCTTCCCCCGCTTTCCCGCCTTCGATGACAACCACAATGTCTTCTTCGCTCGACTTCTTCTCCTCAACTGATTTCACGTCTGTTTCCAAACAAATCAAACATTTCTTAATCAAGTTATTCATTAACAGGTTTTCCACTCATATTAGCCATACATTTGTCATATAAAGGTTGAGTCAATTGTTTCAATCTCTGGCTCTCATCCACTTG